AAACATTTTCGCTGCTGTTCAAATAAAAAGTTTTACATTTTTTCACTTTACGAGGAGTGGACTTCACTATAGCAATGAAAATTACAAAACTATGACTTTCTTCTTCTGCCAGTATACCATACTTTCCTTCCACAGTTAAAGAGTCTAGATTAAACGCGAAACTGTTTGTTGCTATTCAACTATTAATATCACAATTGAGTGTAACATACTATTGATCTTTCACGTAAAAACTGAACTTTCACCTTTACACTTCCAACATTCAATTACTGTATGAATCTCATACATCTAAAAAGCTCAACACACCCAGCACCAGTCCTGTCTGTGAATTTCTCTATTAGATCTTCACGATGAAACTTCTTTCGCCGCACTCATATTTGCGGCGTTTATGCGTGAGCGTATTGTGGAACTCACGCATATTTTCGAAGAAAATAGCGAGTGTAAGTTTTAAGTCGAGGTTTGTCGGCTCTCCCCACTCCATGACACACACATACCAACAGTAAAGAGAACATTACATACATACTCACATTTACAGACATCCCACCATTACAGACGTCAGCAACCGCGAATAGAAGGCTTTTAATTCTATATAATATATCAGTGCTTTCATCAATATTCGAAGAAAGCTATTTTGAAGGTAACAAATCAGGCATAAGGAAAGCAAGCTTAAAAGATATACGTGAGTTCCACATTTCAGCCCTATTGGAGCTGCGCTGACAAGCTTTTTTGCTTCATTTTAATGTGGTTTTTATCCAATGTTTTTGTAAACTCTCAGATTTTATCAATTCATATTCGCTTTTTTTGTGAAACACGAACTGTAAGGAGTGTTGAAGTATATAGGGTAGAATTTTTGAGTTCACTCATCTCACCACAGATCGTGACAGAGAATTCCAAAGACCCATCACAGGTTTTGACAGAGAACTCCAGAGACCTATCGCAGACCGTGACAGAGAACTCCAAAGATTTATTACAGACCGTGACCGAGAACTCCAAAGACTCATCACAGACCGTGACAGAGAATCTCAGAGGCCATCACAGACTGTGACAGAGGAACTGCGGTTTTGAAACATCAAATAAACTGTAAGCTACAAATCTATCGTGAAGAAATGAAACAAAACGGTGTTCATTGAATTAGTAACAATAGGTCGTTCGTGTTTCACATTTTTAATCCCGCAAGAGACTGTGGTAACAACTTTTTACAAGGAACTATGTATATATATGTCAGCGTCCAAACTGAGATTATGTCCAATCTCAGATTGGCCTAGGCGAATGTCGAATCCGAGATTGGACGCATCCAATCTAAGATTGACGTAATTATATTCACTAAAATATTAATTACTCTTTAGATATATGTTCGATTCGAATTTTTTTTTTGAGAAATGTTCTCACAATGTCAGTTTAGTTGGCACAATTGTTGTTTGACAGATTTGAGTCCTATTTTAGGAACTATGAATAAATTTCTAGAAAAAAACAACTTTCATGAAAAAACTTTATTAAATTCTCGAGTCTAAATTTAGCTTCTTCCTAAATGATTGTAATACTCAAAGCGGCATCGTACGAACATAATTTCGAAAAATAGTTCGGTTCCAACGTCTATCTAAAGAGTAATTAATATTTTAGTGAATAGAGTTACGTCAATCCGAGATTAGACGCGTCCAGTCTCAGATTCAGCATTCGCCTAGGCCAATCTGAGATTGGACGTAATCTTAGTTTGAACGCTGGCATCTATATATATATAGTCAGCCTACTTACAAAAAGAAACCAAATTAGTAATATAATTTAATATTATAGTCTTTTCATAATGGCAAGATCAAATTCAATGAAAAAACAATTGTCAACATGTACAATCAAATCGTGTAATGAGGATAAAATAATCAATTATAAAGCTGCATGGGTATTACAAGAAAATAGTAATTACACACAATTATTTTTTGTTTTCTTTTTAAATATATGTAAATATAGATATTCACCTTCTAAATGCTCAACGTGCAATGATTCGAGAATTAATTGATATTTTATCGAAATCTTCGACTGATATAAAAGAATGGCAAAATAAATGGCATAACTTTGTTGCAGATAATGAAGAAAAATTAACGCCATATGAAAATTTATGGCTCATTTTCGATTCTGCTGTTTCTTCTATTGATTATTTTATAGAAAAAACTGATGATATTATTGAAAATTTAAAAACTGTTCGAAGTTCAATCCCAAATGAAAAACCTCATCAATTATTAAGAGATAAAATTCGACAAATGCAATCTACTTTAAATAAATTGTCTGAAGAAATAAATGAGTTGAAAATACACGAAGTTGAGCTTCGATATGAAATAAACGAACGATTAACTCGTCCATGGGGTAGCACATTAAGAAAAAATGCTTTTCGAGCACATCAAAATAATCCATATGAAGAATTAAAAAATATATCAAAATCGATCAAAGATAAAGACAAATCATTTAAAAATGAAGAAAAAAGATTTTATCGAAAAGTAGCTAAAATTATCAAACAAAATACAACGACTACATTAAAATTAAATCTATCAATGAAAAAACAATTTATTGCTTTTGTTAAGTCATTTGATATATATCCTGAGCAATTTAAAAAAGCATTAGCACAATGTGATCCCAAAAAAGATCTCAATCAATGGAAAGAAAATATTCTTCACAAAAATCCTGAACAATCATTCGAATTTTCAGCTGAAGAAGAAGATTATGATGGTCAGAAAACCTCTCAACGTCTATAATCTATCAAATCTCAATCAATTGAAAATGAAAATAATGATAACAAAACAATTAGAGCTCAGTCACCTTTTCAATCTTCAACAGTTTAGATAAAAATTGTGATAAAAAGATCAAGTCACCTGAGAAATCATCCGAATTTCAGGCAGTTAATACTGGTGACACTGATGGCAACAACTAAAGATGTCAACATATTATAGATTAAACAAAAATTTTATATATTTTTTCATTGTTTTATTCATTTTCTTAATAAAGATAATCTTAATATACATGATTTACAATATTAAATCATTGATTAAAATAACTTCTAATCAGTTATTTTTTCAGTTCATCAAGATTCAATAGATAGAGTACCATGTTATAAATCGATCATAACTTTCAGTCCTTTTCAGAAAATGACTCATAATTTTGCTCAATAAGATTTGGTTGAGGTCATTTTTAGTTTCAGGGATAGAGCGATTGACACTCTACAGATTAGTCTTTTTCTGCGTTTTTTCTGCAACCAAATTATGATATTCAGCTTAATTCGATCACTACAGCTGGTCTTTGGTCTTAATTTGATCACCAAATGTAAAATGAAGAAACATACTCCAAGAAATTCTATTCTAAGTATGACTTACATTTGAAAAGTTTTGGTTTTTACCAATACATGTAAATGAAATGATCTAAAAATATAAATTCATAGAAAATTTTATTTTTCAATAAAATAGGCTGTTTCTATTATTTATGGGATGGTATTTTTTAATGGAAAAATTATCAGACATACAACTACAGTCATCAATCAATTCTTAGTGTCCTGAGTGAATGTGTTATCAAAGTAAAAAATACCAGACTGAATTTTTGATATATATGTTAACTCTGATTACGGCACACGTTTCAGTATATTTTTCATTGAAAAATTCTTTTCTCCACAACTGATTTAATATGCTATTATTTGACATCATATGTGCTATTTTCCATAGATATCAGCAGAGTCAATAAGAAAAATTAGTTTATTCGACCATTAAAAAATAGTTCTAGTTGATAAACAAACATTGGTAATGATATTCGATTTTAAACAGAATATTTATTCAAAAACTATTGTCTTGATTTATTTAAGGAAATTCTACTTTATTTTAGATGAGAAAAATAGCAGACTAGGAGAAGAAAAAGTTTAACGTAAGTGTTCACTTCTTGGTTGTCCTATTCAATTTTGTTTTTAAATTCTCACTTCTGATTGTTTAGTTCGTTTACATAATAGAACTATAAATTTATTATTCTCTATTCCAAATCGAATATAAGAATCATTTTCATTATTTGATATTTTATCAATTAATCCTAATAAATGTTTTATATTCTTAATTTGAATACCATTGATAGTTTTCAAAACATAATTTGCAAAGGACGGAAGCGCATAAGATTACAAATCGGTTCACTGACTTTTTTCGATAAATCACTCTAGAAACTACATAGATCGATAGATTTCAGTACGATGAACATTCTAGTACTATTTTTCATGAACTTCATTAATACTTTTGTTAGTGAGGGTGTGGGTGTGGGTGTGAGTGTGGGTGTGTGGGTATGGGTGTGGATGTGAGAGTTTCTTCGACTCATACCCACACCCACACCCACACCTACTACGACTCGAAGAGGGATTGATGGCCGATAATATTTGTAGATTTTGACTACCTCACTATAGTCTTTCAAATGGTATATGAATGAATAGAATCGGAGTGTATCACCTAAATAGTGTTCCTCGTTAGAAAAACTTTAAAACTAATGCAACATTTTTGAAAATTAAATGCTACAGCCTGTAGACAACTCCTTAGGCTTTAAAATTCCTATCCAAAGTTTTTTGTGAGCATGCTTCGATTTTTCCAAGAATTCGATTTACTCTTCGTTGGCGATGTGATGGAGTACGATTATATAAACGAAAAGTTTCTCTTATGACTGAATGAAAAGTTCAAAAACAATTCCAAATGATACAAATTCTTCTTCAGGGTCTTTATATTATCATAAGACAAAAACTTTTGTTTCAGAACTTGATAGGACGTTCAAAGAGTCAATTTTTTTTATGAGAAGAATTTTTTGAGTCCGAACTTATTGAACATTTCACCATAGTTGTAGTTCGCGTCCTTCTAAAAATGAAAGTCAAGTGTTTCTTATTATGTTCTGAACAGACTAGCCGAAATACAATTAAATTAAACAGCATCAATGGGGTAAAATCTACAATAAAATTCAATCATCTTTGCAAGACAATATAATTACAGATCAATGAAAGTGATGTCAGTCGAATATCCTGATTATTTTCAAATCGTATACTACTTCATCAAATACTATACAAATCATGAGTTTCTAAATGATCTATAGATAAATAAACAATAGTAAAATTAATTTCTCACTTCAAGGTGCATTGTATTGCTACATTTTCTTGTCATTATAGGAGCTGCGCTCAACGCTGATTAGTGAATTACTGGCTATAGTGGAAACGATTGCTAACTTAAAGTTGAAGCAAAAGTGTTCTGTTCGTTTGATGTATTTGAGTTCTTCGAGTGTTTATTAGCACTAATTGAACTTAACACTTTTGTTTTGCTTTAAGGCAAAGAGAACGTCTCTTGACACTTGACTTTTGGTTAATTTTGACACTGAATATTTTGCTCTACAAAACTGCTGACCTTGTTTTCAAATATAAGTTTTTTCTGTGTGTAAAATGTAGGCTGCTACCAGCTTTTCCACAGCTGACGATAATGATAAAAGAAAGCATAATTAGCTACATCCTATAAAACTTCATGGATATCAACATACGTTTATCAGTAGAAGCCTGCAGAAAAACGAGAGATCACTATTAAATGTGCGCACAATTGCTGGTCTTCTACATTCGTGTGAATAAGAAAATTCTATTCCAAAAACTGCATTTTCTGCATATAATCAACTCAAAAACTGATTTTAAATTTATTTTAAAATACGCCAAAAGCAAACTATGTAAAGTGTTTCTATCTGATCCATTCGTAGTACATTTATGTCTACACAGAAAATCAGAGATCGAAGGCTGCATCGAGTCATTATAAGTTTTCAGGCCTTTTCACTTTATTCAGTTCCGCAAAATGCAACCGAATCCCATCATTGTACGCTCAATGTCACTAATGATGAAGTCATACATTTCCGTTATCTTTTCATTTTTACTATTTTTATTAAAATATATTCCTCTCGATTCTAAGAATATCATTATTCATACGTATAAAAACATAACAATCAAATAAGAAACTTAAATGAAAAAAAAAACTAAGCTCGCATTAAGTTAAAAACAAAGGCAATTTTAAACGTACGAATATTTTTTTTTTGTTATAAAAAACTATTTACAACATATATAAAACAATCAACTCAAAAAAAAAGTAAGAAGACACAGTTTAATTTTACAAAAAATTAATGTAAAAAATTTAACACCAGTTTTTTTGTTAGACATTATTCATTGTTAAAGTTTTTGTTCGATCAATTCTAAAATACCAAAAGAGACGAAATCTATAAATTAATCTAGAAAAGAAGTATTTATTTTCATTAAAATTACACTAGAAAACATTGAATATATATAAAAAATGACATACTAAACTTCATATAATCAGTGTTGTCGATTCCACCATGGTCTCATTACTAGCCTCTACAATGAGTACTCATTAGTCGTACACGCTGACATGGAAAATATCTGACATCACCATGAAATGACTCATATCTAAGTGTTTCATTGGTCGTAATACTACTAGAACTAAATGTTTGGAATGTATGTCATCATCACTAGTGCTTATTCTCTAACGACTTCAAATGAATAATAATATCTCATTTAGCTGATTCATCTCTCCGACTTACACTTACGAGGAAAAACTAATAGATATATATATTACAGAGTGTAAGTGAAAATAAAATAAATAAAATATGGGCAATGATAACAGTAGTGCAATTACAATTGATGTTGACCGAAATAATTTGTTTTATTATTCTGGTGAAACTGTATCTGGAATAGTTAGATTAAATATTACAGAAGAAACGTTAGAAACACGTGAAATATACATAAGTTTGATCGGTGAAATTGGTTATACAACAACTCGATCTGCTTTAAATGGTAAAGGTGGATCTTTACCACGAAATGAATATTATAAGATTCAATTTTATTATAAAAAAGTTAGTTTATCTGGATCTAGTATAACACAACAAGAATTTATTTATGATCGTGGACGTTATGCATGGTTATTTCAAATTCCATTAATTGATAATCTTCCACCAACTATCAATCAACCTGATATATTTCCACGTGTTCGATATTTTTTACAAGTTGTTATTGATAAATCATGGTATACATCAAATATAAAATATAAAAAATATTTAACAGTATATCCACGTGTTAATTTATTAGAAAATCCTCAATGTTTATCACCATCTATATTCGAATTCGAAAATAGAACAGATATTAAATTAAAGGCAACTTTTAATAAATTAGGATATGTTTCTGGTGAAAATATTCAATTTACATTAGAAATTCAAAATCCACGAAAAGTTTTAATTTTACATAGTAATCTTTCAATATTAAAATGTTATCAAATTGAAAAAAAAATCGATGAATGTATTGTATATAAAACTATATTACCAAAAATTGTAAATTTAACAAATGAACATATAATGGAAAGATTTTCGATAAAAATTCCTTCTATACAATTTCCTCCTTCATATAAATTTCAAGGAGAAAACCCAAACATTTTCGTTCATATTTATTATATGCTTAAACTTACAGTTAAAGTTGGAGGAATATTTACTAATTTTCATATTAATGTTCCAATTACACTAGGAACTGAACCAAATTCTGATTTAAGTCAACAACAATCATTTAATCCTTTAAGTATATCCTATTCATCAAATCGTGAACAATCAATATTTAATGATGATGATTCACCACCTGACTATGATTCTGTTATGCAAAGTTTACAATAAAATTTTTTTCTGATTTGTAGAAATATTCAATATAGATATATATATATACCATTTATCCATTTATTATTTCATCTTATTAATAAAAACTTTGTAGAAGGTCATGTATATTCGTGTATTATGATATACATTGTATATCTCAAAGTACACATACACAGAGACACAAAAGAAAGTACTATGAGTAACAAATGCAATTCTCTTTTAAGAAGAATAGAAAAGTTGAATTTTGTTTTTATTCTTTAGGTGAAATAATAATAGAATATAAAGAACGAACATGACTAATGAGATCAATGCAGTTACATATCAATTCATCGATCTAACGATAACATCACATGTAAAATTGTTGACAACTCTATTTATAAAGATCATTAAAATGACTTAACTTAATTATATTTATTAAATAATATCAATATTCGATATTTTATTAATACATCCAACATTTATTTCCCATCGCTAATAGCATCAATTAATATTCTTGACGATGTCACGTACAAATTATATAAAAAAGAAAATATTATTATCAATGTTTACTTGATCAAATAGATAAGCAAAATCCTTCGTTAATGACATGACTTTCCAAATTTGTAATGCGCATATCTTGGAATAGTGAATTTTCTAAGAGCTAATTTTTATATGCTATATGTATGTTAAGTTACTCTATACATTCTGAAAAAATTAGCCTTAAAGATCTTTGTTCAGAGGAATTATCACTAAAAAACTAGCACTAGCGACGTCACTGAAAACAGAACATTGACTTTCACATTATACAGTTCCGTTTAGAAAAACTTTAAAAGTAATGCAAAAATTTTGAAAATGAAATGCTACAGTTTATAGACAATTCCTAAAGCTACAAAATCCCTATCTACAGTTTTTTGTGAGCATGCTTAGATTTTTCAAAAAAATCGATGTATTCTTCGTTGGCGATGTGATGGAGTACGAATATATAAACGAAAAGTTTCTCTTATGACTGAATGAAAAGTTCAAAAACAATTCTAAACAGTGCAAATTCTTCTTCACGGTCTTTACATTATCGTAATACAAAAAATTTTTGTTTCAGAACTTTATAGGACGTTTAAAGAGTCAATTTTTTTATGAGGAAAAGTTTTTAAGTCCAATCTTGTTAAACATTTCACCATAGGTGTAGTTTGGGCCTCTTAATAAATCAAAGTCAAATAAAAGAGGAGTATGTCCTATATTGCTTGATTTAGCCGATATATAAGTCATTGTTGAAAAACATATTAAAGTTAATTTTGTTCTTTTATCATATATTTCATTTCATGAAATTTATATTCACATATTATATGAGAAACAAAAATAATTGAAATTATTAATTGTGATTAATAATTATCAAACTGAAAACAATTAATTAAGAGAAGATATTATATAACGAATTAATGATCATCAACGGAGATGTTAAACAAATTTTCAAGTTCTATTTTATCAAACATCAATTAATGTTTACACAATTTCAAAAATCTATTCAAAATGATTTTGTTCAACAATTTGTTTATTAATAAAATATTGAATATAATCATTTTCATTTAATATATAATAAGATAAGGATTCTTCTGAATACGGTTAATTTATTTCTCTTTATTTCTCTCATTCTCATATTCACTTTTTAAATAGGCACTCACAGAACTGAACCTGGAATGGAATGAAATTAACGTTATAAAGTTCAACATCTGGTTAATGCTTTAGAAACGAACAAGGTGAATGTCTTTCTATCATCATTTTTCTCATTGTTCATTCTTACTTCTTCACACAGATACTTACGAAACTGAATATCAAGAAAAATAATATCGAACAAATATCTAAACGACGTGCGATGGCAAAATTTATGAAAAACCCTGGATTGAAAGTAGATATGATTTCACATTAGATGACAAGCTGGCATGTAATGACAAGAAAAATAAATTGATTTAGAAATGACATTTGAAAGTGACCTTTAATCATATTATTTACAAATCAGTAGAATTTATGCTCAAATACTATAAAGTATAACAAAAATAAACATTAAATATAGTTAGAATTTCATTCAAGATAATCATAGTCTGATATTGATCAGAAGAAGAAATGAACGCACAAGAAATTGTGAGTTGGTTCGTGAGACTTCAAACATGGGATCAATTATGTGTTTTTACCTCTGAAGTATAATGGGTGACGCTTGATGATAACTTCGTTGTTGCTAGATTGGTTTATTCAGATTACATTAAATACAGCTTCTGCCAAGGAAGAGAATCACTGACTTCATTGACTTTCAAAGTCATTGAACGGTTGCGAAAGTCATTTTGAAGTGAAGATGTAATTGTGATGGAACAACAAGAAACGTTATCATGTGAGAGGTACACGAAAAAATCAATATCATAGCGAAATTCAACATTTTCGGTAAAAACAAACGAAAGCTCTTAAAGGATGAAATGTAAACATGGCATATCTCAAATCTGCTTGCATTGAACATAGTAATTTTAAATTTGTTTTATCGAGTCAATCATGTTTCAGTACATGGCAGAAGTAAATAAGCACTTTATCAGCATACTCCTGAATAGAAGAATATCCAGTACTTTTAAGTGTTCAGTTGCAATTCTTCAGCCCTCAAAAGGTATTCAACTTGAATTTTCTAAGAACTTCAAATGAATTAGTAGAGATGATTCAATTTACTGATTCTGTTTGACTGTGAATTATCTCTTAAGTATCTTGTCGATATTCTTGGAACACAAAACTGTACGTCACTTTGGTGCGTTGAGTTTTACTTCGATACAGTTCGAATCAAACAAGTGCTGCTTCATCCTTCCAACTTTGAGATTGAAGCTGCGTCATCTTTCAAAAGTCGAATACATGTTCTTTAATGTAAAGTTGAAGTTTCATTTTGCTATATATTCAGATCCTATCATACACAGAAGTAACTATATTCGACTCCGAATTCTCAATTTGTAACCGTGACACAAATCTTTCATTTACATCACGGTCTTAATGCGATAGAAATATTGATGAATTAATCATATCTCACCTTTTCATTTACATGGGAGTCATTGCTGCAGTTGCATAATGGTGAGCATGATTTATAGACATAATTATTTGTTGGAAATTTTAAATTGAAACAAACGATGAGCTTTGCTCATTTTCATCGAGAGATATGAAAAAAGACTTGCATGAAGTCATTTTGAGATAAAACATCTCCGAGAAGCCCTATGAATATCTGTTCTTGATAGCAAGAAAATCGCTTACGACAGTGGTAATGGAAGATTTATGATTATGGTTAGATGTTGGCCTCAAACAACTTCCTTAGATAAGTGCCAATTTGGCACTGCCCAATTTGGTTGTCCAACGGCGATACATATTCAGCAGATATCGTTGACATAGAAAGAATATCAATGACTGAGTTACATTAAACATTTTATAATTTTTTAAAATCATACTTGCCTTATTATGGGCTTGTTTCTTTTCCTATCAAATAACTGAAGTCAAGTGATCAAGCGAATAGACCTCTGAGTTTGGTATTTCTCGCTAAATCAAATAGTAAAAAGGAATAAATCATATTAAATTCAAGACGTTGCACAATAAGGTTTTCATATTACATAAGAAAGAAAATGACAACAAAATCAAGGTGAGTTGAAACTCTCTGGTTTTCATAATCTCAGAAGCTGACGTTGATGAAGAAGCATTGGAATCTTCATTCCCGTCTAAATTTGTTGTACTCTCATGAAATACGAAAAGAACACGTCACAATTGATTCATTTTCATATTTTTGTTTTTATTGATATAGACATTGCGGTTTCGATGGTTTATTATATCTATAGCTATCTCTTGAGTAAATATGTAATCTATTGTGTTTATGAAGAACAATATAGATAAAATTCTATTGAAAAATATGATTTTTAAGGATCCATTTCTCGGTCTTGGACTTATCTCATGTATTAGTATCGAGCCTCTTGATTATAACCATAGGCGATGAGTGTTGACAAGTTGAAGAAAATTTCAACATTAATCATAGAAGATAGAAAATAATAGTCAACAAAATAAATTTATAACACTAAATTTCTATACGATTCATGTTCTTGAGGGAATCACAATTGAACTCGATATGTTGAACTGAAGAATGTTAGGGTGTGGGTGTGGGTGTCGATAAACAAAACAGCCACACTCGCATCACATCCACACCCACATCACATCCACACCCACATCACATCCACACCCACACCCACACCCTACTAGACCCCGTCGGGTAGGACCCGGACCCGGACCCGCACGGGTCCGGGTCCGGGTCCAAAAATTTTATTTTGACCGGGTCCGGGTCTGAAAATTTTGCTTTAACCGGATCCAGGTCTGAAGAAAACTTTGATCCATACAATTTATTTTGAATTTTTTTAAAGTTTTGTTCGTTTTATACAAAGAAGAGATCAAATGTATTTAGAAAATAGATAAAAAACAACAAAATCCTTCTTGACTATACTATCTAAACTGACTTGTCATTGTGTTTGGATCCAAAAAATTTAAGCGACCGGGTCCGGGTCCGGGTCCAGCAACCTGTAAACGGGTCCGGGTCCGGATCCGGGTAGAAAAATTTTAAATGATCGGGTCCGGGTCCAAAATCCTGGGCCAGGGTCCGGGTTCGGGTCCAGGTCCAAAAATTCTGGACCCGACGGGCTCTACACCCCACACCCACACCCCACACCCACACCCCACACCCACACCCACACCCACACCCCACCCCACTCCCCACACCCACACCCACACCCTTCGGTGTGAATGTGGGGTGTTGTGGGTGTTGGTGCATATGAATGAAAGAGCAACATCACACCCACACCCTCAAAACTACATAGTACTGTCATATTTTTGATTACTTGTATCATCTTTCTTTATTCATTTGAGGCACACTTTGACGTTTCTTTGTTTTTTTATTTCATCAGACTTATATGCCATATGTTTGCATCTAACTAAATTACGAAGTGGTACTGTTACAGAGATTAAGTCCTCTTGCATTATGAATGATTCGAACAAAAACGTGTATTCAGTAAATATCAATGTATGGAAATTGATTTGAAATGATTTTTCAAGTGTTGGCACAAGAAGAAAATAATATTGATAAAATCAAGTTTCAATTAATTTAATATCTGATATTCTCTTTAAAATGATAATATCATGAAATATGATATTTTCTAGCACACAAAGTAATCGAATTTCTTCTCTTGTCTTATATTATTAAGACTAAGAGAATGAATATATATGAAACAAAAAAAATTTCTTTTAGCGAAAAGATGCTTCGAATTTGTGTTATTCTTTTACTGTTTCACGTTGTTGAACTTTCTTCTCTACGAAATGAGCGATATCAAATAATTGAACGTGTGCGGAAGTATCTCCAACAATCTGATTCTATGACTCGATCCCTTAGAAATCCTGATTGGTTGATAAATAGTAATAAAATTGGCTTTGGCTACAATCTACTTGCTGGTTCTCCGGTGTGTTATACAGGTGCATGTCAGATGGATGAATTTACTCGTTCAATATTCAAACTTAATTATTCATCACCAGTTCCAGGATCATGTACCGACAAGTTTGTACCGAATAACGTTGAGCTAGACTGTTTACCATCTGGTACACAAACGGTTAATATTGAGGTTGTTGACACAATTGAAAATCTACATGCATCTATTTCGAGTAAAGTTGACGTTTCCACTGGGGCGAAATTCAGAGGTGTGGGCTTCTCCTATACACGTTCAAAAGAAACCCAACATATGCTTGACAATATAATCAATAAACATCGAACCTCTATAGTAAGTTTTTTTATTGTTTTTGAATTTTGAAATATGATAATGTAAAATTGTTTAGCTTACTGCAGTTGAAATTTCTTATGCTAAGCTATCGATGTTTCAACCTAAAATGGAACTATCGGATAATTTTCGATACGTTATTGACAATATATTTTGTTGTGAAGAAGGTGATCCAATGACAGAAGAATACGTGAAGGACTTCATTTTTGACTATTTTGGAGTTGCTTATGTCACAAGTATTCTGCTTGGTGGGGTAGCTCAACAAAATATCTTTATTGATCGAGAAGCAAAAGAAAAACTAGAAAGAAATAGCATACAAATAAAACATCAAGCAGTGGTCAGCTTTGATTTATCAATGGGTTCAAATATAGGAAATAGTTTTAATGTTGGACCAACTGTGACCAATGGAGTGAGCGATGCCAACTATAATATGTTCAAGAAAGAAGTTAAATCAATGTCCAACACTAAACTTGGTGGTGTTCCTGATTTAATCAGCTTTGCTGAATGGTCCAAAACAGTTTCAGACAATCCTGTTATTATTAAGCTGAAAGTTCGAGATATTTTTCGTCTTTTTACAAAACATTACTTTCCAGATGACCCTCTGATAACAAATAAATCGAAACTAATAGAAAAAATATTTGAGAAATATATTACTAGTTCTGTTTACTGTGACAATAACTGTGGTGGTAATGACACTTATGGAACATGCCAACCGACTGGATTTTTCCAGTATGGAGTTTGTCAATGTAAACCAGAATGGACTGGTAGTGATTGTAAAACAGCTGTCATACAGCATCATAAAATACTACACGGCACTATTTGTGGATTCGATCGTCCTTTTATACAGGTTAAGTGCGGTGGTGCACGTCCATGGGATGGATGTCCAACTGGTTGGATTAAGTATAGTTGGCACATTGATTTAACTATTTGTTATAAAAATCAAACAGTTATCAGCAATCCTTTCTACGGAACAATATGTGGACTTCATTCTTATCATTCACCATCTAATTTTAGTTTTAATGTAGGTTGTAATGACAGTTCCAATGTTTACACGGGTAAATGCCCGACAAATTATCAACTAATTCATGAAACACAGGGACCATGCAGTGCTTCGTTACCATACCCAAACTTCTGCAATGCAGGAAATGCAGTTTGTGCAGCTGTAAACGTGAACGAGGACTCACCAGGAACACTATGTGGGATGCAAATAGAAGGATCAACTGAGGGTCCCTCGTGTGATGGTTTCAATCCAGGTTTACGACAATGTCCTTCAAACTATACTCCACAGCGTACTCTCCTCAACTATCTTGGATTTATGGTTTGTGTGAAAACTCTTCACTAATCTATTTTTACTCGTATTGCTAACTAATGCAACAATCGCTCGTACAGAATGGGTTGCTTCATATCATATCAATAAAAATAAAGTACTCCTATATTATAGAAATCATTCTATAAAGTGAAATAACATGAAGCTATCCTGTTCAGATGATAAAAGAATATTCAAAAAGCATAGCTTCTATCATTTTGTGAAACACGATCTGAAAGGAGTGTTGAAGTGTTTAGGAGTAGAAATTTAGACCACCCCCCCCCCCTCCCCCCACAGACCGTGACAGACACTCACGTGACCCATCACAGACCGTGACAGACAGGGCTCTGGACCTGTCACAGACCGTGACAGACAAGGTCTAGGCCCGTCACAGGCCGTGACAGACAGGCTTTGGACCCATCACAGACAGTGACAAGAAACTGGTTCTAAAGCATCAGATAAATGGTTAGCTACAAATGTATCGCAAAGAAATGGAACAAAATGATTTCCATTTAATTAGTAACAATAGAACCGCCGTGTTTCACATTTTTAATCCCGCAAAGGATTGCGCTAACAGCTTTTTTATCAAGGGCGTAAGAATAGATGTTTCCTTTGCAAGTCGTATCCAACTACAAATTCAAACACTATTCTTACAAATAAATTGTTTTACACTTCTCTGTAATACTGAATGAATGTTCTGATACAATGTATCCAACGTTGAGTATTAAAGCGAAACATCATTTTTAGATATATCGATTCACTTAGTTCCAAAGCAGCGAGCAGCAAGAGGGTGTGGATGTGAGTGTGGGTGGGTGTGGGTGTGGGGTGTGGATGCGGGTGTGGGTGTGGGTGGGTGTGGGTCTGGGGTGTGGGTGTGGATGATTGTTAGTCTTGTTTCTATGAATACTCACACCCATCCATAACAACACCCACACCCACACCCATACCCACCCACACCCACACCCACACCCACACCCACACCCACACACACACCCACACCCACCCACACCCACACCCACATCCACATCCACACCCCGTTACACTCTCAAATTGTACTGCATCTAATTATTATTTGTTTTGAATTAATAATTTTTGCTCAAGTTATTCCAATTTATTTTATTTAATTTATAACAGTTTTTAATAATTGAAGCAAACATAACTTCATGTATATACGTTGTTGTTTCATATGCGAGTACTTCTTTTGAGTATGAGAACACATTTCTTTTCTCAATAAGATTCGAGGCATTTTTCGAAACAGACACAAAAGAAAATACAGAGTATGTATTTAACTGATGATTTTCCATAAATCGTTTCTTCAAAAGACGACCTTATTCATTCAAGTTAGCTGGGGACTCATAACTATGCTAATGGCAGAATTCACTGTGAACAAATTGCATCTATACTAATCAAATCTCCATTTAAGCAACTGAATTAAATGAGTTCGATAAAAAAATTAATTTTCTCTTTTTACATTTATTTAATTATTAAAAAGATAAAATGTTGCCAGTGATAGGTCTTAACCTCGACAAAAAAAGATCGCTACTGGATATCGTACCAAAAAGCTAGGCTGGTTCTAAGAGCACTTCTTACCAGCAATGGTCTTCCTTTTTTTTCACAAGATAGTATATGTTTCTTTTTTATTCTACACACGTGAAATAACTAGAACAAACTCATTTACTAACGATATCAAGGGGGAAACGGCGGATTCCAGATTCCCGGGATTCCCAAGATTCCCAAGATTCCCAGGATTCCCACGGGATTCCCGGGATTCCCATGGAATTCCCTGGATTCCCACCGGATTCCCGAGATTCCCATGGGATTTCCAGGATTCCCAAAGGATTCTTCAAAAAATTTCCGGAATTCCCACCATACTTGAGGGTTCCTCATTGTATCTGAAAATAACAGAAAACTATAAAACAATAAATCAGAAGATCCAACTTTCTTTAATTTACTGTTTTTATTAACATAACTCTTTTATTTCTTAATTTGGCGATTGACCAAAAGATGCAGGATTGTTGGCCACTACTTTCAGACAGTGTTTCTCCTCTTCGGCACGTAGAGCCCATCCTACTGCGAAGAGGTGGATGTGTATTCGAAAAACCCGCATCCTTATTTGTTCGCTATGCGTGGTTTTAATTTAAAAATTCAAAATGGATTGAAACAATTTAGGCAAGTTTTATACGGAATACTCGTGCCTATTTATACCTATTTTTGCTTCGGATGATACTCGGTAAACCCGCATCCATACATTGATTTTTAGGCATTTTTCGGAAAACCCGTGCCTACTATTGTCTTTTCATGTGAACCTCTTTCGGTAAACCCGTGTTCACTGCTCCATTTCTCTTTGATATTCATTACCATGAATTTGACAGGCAATTATAAGCCCTGAAAAATACCAGAGTCAATTTAAAAAAAAACATCTACTGATATGTGAAGTTTAGATACATCTTGTAATAAGATTGGTATCAAGTCAACTGAGACATTAGAGAATTTTTGTTTTTTATCACATAGAGGAAAAGCGAACTATGAAATATCAATAAAAGAAACATGAAGCAATAAAAAATAGCAGCAGTTGATCATGTCAAAATATTCCTAAGTATTTCTTACAAGCTTTTTTTTAATCTAAGAACTGCTTTGTTGAACTCGTCTAAGTCGATCAGCTGACAAACGATTATTAGTATCTGTTAAAAGCCAGCAGGCTGTCTGTTTGTGAATATATTTTTTTTCCCATCAAGTTCAACACGAAAGTAGGACTTCGCAAGTGAGGAAGGAATAGTGTCGCACACTCTCATTCCATGAAACTGAGATTTACTACTAGCTGAAATTGAAGACACATTTTCAGTTTCATCATCACATGAACTATCATCATCTAAGTCCGCTGCAGTATTGATATCCGATCTGAATTTATAGCTTGATTCATCATTATCAGATAAATACGATTCATCATCATCGTAGGAGACCTTTTAAAATTTTCTATCAAACTGAGCTCGTACAAAGGAGCTCACTTGAAGCATTTCAGTTTTTTTTGCTTTCTTCAAAGCGATATGAACATCAAGCTTAGATAGTAGATCATAAGCATCATCATATGCTTGACAAATTGTTTTTTTTAATATTATCACAAGTGAGAAGATGGATAGACGAACTCAGAACTACGTTTTTAGAAGCAGCACTTTGTCGACATCGCTTGTGATGCTTAGGAAACTGTAAAGAACAGCTTAATTGACCAGATTCATTCTGATTTTGTATATCAGCAAGTACTGATAGTTTACCAGCTCGTTTAAGGAACTGTTCAGTAGTAAAATTAACTACTGTAGAAAAAACACCTGACATTGATCTTGAGTTACGAAAAGTTGCTTCGCAAGACTATGAGTGATAATTTGAAAACCTAAGAGCAGAAATGGGCAAATCTTGCTGATGCACAAGTAAACAAATTGTAACTAGGCTATGAGCATTCATTTCTATAGAAAAATGAGCAGGAACAGTAATAAATAAATTCTCTTTTGACATTTGAGAATGAGATTCTGAAATGTCTTCTTTATGTACTAAATGCAGCCAGGTTTGCCATATACGGCATATAAAGACTGCTAGCCAACTATGATAGATGCGATCAATTATCGATGTATTATGGTCAATATAGGCGAGTGCTATACTACGCAAGAGGCGCAAATAAATTTGTGTGGCTAAAGAACCACCAATGTCTTCAAGAGCATTGATTACTTCCTCATTCAGAATCTTGAGGCAAGACTTATAGTTTTGCTTGTCGCTAGGCTCTATATCAGTTTTTACAAGTCCATGTACAAACTTCGATTTAGTTTCTATAAGTTCATTCAGTACTTTAATGGAAACTTCTCCTTTCCCAATCAAAAGTAATGCGATTTCAGAAAGCATACGATTACGGAGTTTAGCACATAAATGTATGGGATCTTGAAAACAAAAAAAAACTTGATCGGAAGGCATAAAAAACCATCCTGACCAATCCTTTGGTAAATGGATCTTTAACATATCGTTACGATTATACAACGGAGTATTAGTAAGTTTTGCAAAAAAACCTGTATTCAGACGCATTGCTAACAAGTATCTTGGATCGCAATCCGTAGAAAAAGCAACAATACGAACGTTTGACTCTTGAGACTTTTCAAAAATCCATATCCATTGATTAAGAATATCAATGGCTTTAAATTTGTTACTGATCCCATATGCGGCAAGCAGGAATGGTGAGGTATATGGTTTAGATTCAATGAGCGATTGCATCATATGAATATTTAAATAGTTTGACTTATCTTTATTCTCGAACCATTCTTTTAACACATCAAAAGAATCTGTCTTAAAATAACCAGATTTAGGAATACCATTTTCGAGTGGAGTCGCGAATCCACCAAATGTGTTAGTAGCAGCATTATAACTAACTTTCTTTACGAGTAGCGGCGGATCCAGGATTTTTCAGTATGCTAGATTTCACCTTCAGACTATGGGACCCAGATGAAATTTATAGAGGTATGATATTGGAATCAAATGATGAGTTTTTATTAAAGGATTTTTGTAATGGGACTTTGCGAAAAAAATTAGCATTTTCCTGAGCTCCCCCAAGATTTTTCTTTCGCAGTTAGGGGTATCTTGTTTTTTAGAATT